CTAAACTACAGTCTGATCTAAACTACAGTCTGATCTAAACTACAGTCTGATCTAAACTACAGTCTGATCTAAACTACAGTCTGATCTAAACTACAGTCTATGATCTAAACTACAGTCTGATCTAAACTACAGTCTGATCTAAACTACAGTCTGATCTAAACTACAGTCTGATCCAAACTACAGTCTGATCTAAACTACAGTCTGATCTAAACTACAGTCTGATCTAAACTACAGTCTGATCTAAACTACAGTCTGATCTAAACTACAGTCTGATCTAAACTACAGTCTGATCTAAACTACAGTCTGATCTAAACTACAGTCTGATCTAAACTACAGTCTGATCTAAACTACAGTCTGATCTAAACTACAGTCTGATCTAAACTACAGTCTATGATCTAAACTACAGTCTGATCTAAACTACAGTCTATGATCTAAACTACAGTCTATGATCTAAACTACAGTCTGATCTAAACTACAGTCTGATCTAAACTACAGTCTGATCTAAACTACAGTCTGATCTAAACTACAGTCTGATCTAAACTACAGTCTGATCTAAACTACAGTCTGATCTAAACTACAGTCTGATCTAAACTACAGTCTGATCTAAACTACAGTCTATGATCTAAACTACAGTCTGATCTAAACTACGGTCTATGATCTAAACTACGGTCTATGATCTAAACTACGGTCTATGATCTAAACTACAGTCTGATCTAAACCACAGTCTATGATCTAAACTACAGTCTGATCTAAACTACAGTCTGATCTAAACTACGGTCTATGATCTAAACTACGGTCTATGATCTAAACTACGGTCTATGATCTAAACTACAGTCTGATCTAAACTACAGTCTGATCTAAACTACAGTCTGATCTAAACTACAGTCTGATCTAAACTACAGTCTGATCTAAACTACAGTCTGATCTAAACTACAGTCTGATCTAAACTACAGTCTGATCTAAACTACAGTCTATGATCTAAACTACAGTCTGATCTAAACTACAGTCTGATCTAAACTACAGTCTGATCTAAACTACAGTCTGATCTAAACTACAGTCTGATCTAAACTACAGTCTGATCTAAACTACAGTCTATGATCTAAACTACAGTCTGATCTAGACTACAGTCTGATCTAAACTACAGTCTGATCTAAACTACAGTCTATGATCTAAACTACAGTCTGATCTAAACTACGACTGTAGTTTAGATCATAGACTGTAGTTCAGCCAATCAGCTTTGTCACTGTTGTTTTTATGCAGCGTTCAGACCGGATCATGCTGCGTCGACTTTCAATGCAAAGTCAATCATGACGCGCGTTCGAGCGTCGAAATTAATGTACGTCTCGGAATGCATGCACGGACTGCTCTGTAGAGACGCACGGACTGTTCAGTAGAGACGCACGGACTGCTCTGTAGAGACGCACAGACTGCTCTGTAGAGACGCACAGACTGCTCTGTAGAGACGCACAGACTGTTCAGTAGAGACGCACAGACTGCTCTGTAGAGACGCACGGACTGTTCTGTAGAGACACACGGACTGTTCTGTAGAGACGCACAGACTGCTCTGTAGAGACACACAGACTGTTCTGTAGAGACGCACAGACTGCTCTGTAGAGACGCACAGACTGCTCTGTAGAGACACACGGACTGCTCTGTAGAGACGCACAGACTGCTCTGTAGAGACACACGGACTGTTCTGTAGAGACGCACGGACTGTTCTGTAGAGACGCACGGACTGCTCTGTAGAGACACACAGACTGCTCTGTAGAGACGCACAGACTGCTCTGTAGAGACGCACAGACTGCTCTGTAGAGACGCACAGACTGCTCTGTAGAGACACACAGACTGTTCTGTAGAGACGCACGGACTGCTCTGTAGAGACGCACGGACTGTTCAGTAGAGACGCACAGACTGCTCTGTAGAGACGCACAGACTGCTCTGTAGAGACACACAGACTGTTCTGTAGAGACGCACGGACTGCTCTGTAGAGACACACAGACTGTTCTGTAGAGACGCACGGACTGCTCTGTAGAGACGCACGGACTGCTCTGTAGAGACGCACAGACTGTTCAGTAGAGACGCACGGACTGTTCTGTAGAGACGCACAGACTGCTCTGTAGAGACGCACAGACTGCTCTGTAGAGACGCACGGACTGCTCTGTAGAGACGCACAGACTGCTCTGTAGAGACGCACAGACTGTTCAGTAGAGACGCACGGACTGCTCTGTAGAGACGCACAGACTGCTCTGTAGAGACGCACAGCACTGTCTGTAGAGACGCACGGACTGCTCTGTAGAGACGCACGGCACGACTGCTCTGTAGAGACGCGGACGCTCTGTAGAGACGCACGGACTGCTCTGTAGAGACGCACGGACTGCTCTGTAGAGACGCACAGACTGCTCTGTAGAGACTCACGGACTGCTCTGTAGAGACGCACGAACTGCTCTGTAGAGACTCACGGACTGCTCTGTAGAGACGCACAGACTGTTCTGTAGAGACGCACAGACTGCTCTGTAGAGACACACAGACTGTTCAGTAGAGACGCACGGACTGTTCTGTAGAGACGCACGGACTGCTCTGTAGAGACGCACAGAGACTGTTCTGTAGAGACGCACAGACTGCTCTGTAGAGACGCACGGACTGTTCAGTAGAGACGCACGGACTGTTCTGTAGAGACGCACGGACTGCTCTGTAGAGACGCACGGACTGCTCTGTAGAGACGCACGGACTGTTCTGTAGAGACGCACGGACTGTTCTGTAGAGACGCACGGACTGTTCTGTAGAGACGCAACTGCTTTGAGCGTGTCTACCGATGCGGAAATACCGTTTAATAATAAAATAAACTTATTGCGCACCTCCGTGAACTGTTATATAAAGTCATCTCCGTGAACACATACTGCTGTTATATAAAGTCACCTCCGTGAACACATACTGCTGTTATATAATGTCACCTCCGTGAACACATACTGCTGTTATATAAAGTCACCTCCGTGAACACATACTGCTGTTATTTAAAGTCACTGTGAACACATACTGCTGTTATATAAAGTCACCGTGAACACATACTGCTGTTATATAAAGTCACCTCCGTGAACACATACTACTGTTATATAAAGTCACCTCTGTGAACACATACTGCTGTTATATAAAGTCACCTCCGTGAACACATACTACTGTTATATAAAGTCACCTCCGTGAACACATACTGCTGTTATATAAAGTCACCTCCGTGAACACATACTACTGTTATATAAAGTCACCTCCGTGAACACATACTACTGTTATATAAAGTCACCTCCGTGAACACATACTGCTGTTATTTAAAGTCACCTCCGTGAACACATACTGCTGTTATATAAAGTCACCTCCGTGAACACATACTGCTGTTATATAAAGTCACCTCCGTGAACACACTGCTGTTATATAAAGTCACCTCCGTGAACACATACTGCTGTTATATAAAGTCACCTCCGTGAACACATACTACTGTTATATAAAGTCACCTCCGTGAACACATACTGCTGTTATATAAAGTCACCTCCGTGAACACATACTACTGTTATATAAAGTCACCTCCGTGAACACATACTGCTGTTATATAAAGTCACCTCCGTGAACACATACTACTGTTATATAAAATCACCTCCGTGAACACATACTACTGTTATATAAAGTCACCTCCGTGAACACATACTGCTGTTATTTAAAGTCACCTCTGTGAACACATACTGCTGTTATTTAAAGTCAAAAACTATCCTCTCAAGCTAATCCCCATACATAGTAGCTCAGTTGGTAGAGCATTGGCCTTTAGGCCTGAAGCTCGTGGGTTCAATTCCCACCGCGACACCTTCCCCACTGATGCCTGCTGTCGTTGTGTCCTTGGGCAAGACACTTAACCCCACACTGCCCAAAGCCCTTGCTGAAAGATCAAGGGAGCAGCCGTCCTCCTGTGGACTCACCACCTGCAGAGGGTCAGTGAGGGGCTGGTGCTCTGTGACTTGGGTGCATCTCTGACTGCCACCCCCCTGACCCAGAAATGGATTAAGGGGAAGAAAATGGATGGATGGACATCTGGGAACATGAAAATAATTTGATCATCAAATATGCTGATGACACCACCATCATCGGTCTCATCAGTGACACTGATGAATCCTCTTATAGAGCAGAGATACAAAACGTGGTTCAGTGGAGTCAAACTAACAAGCTCCAGTTGAACGCATCCAAAACATGTGAACTGGTCACGACTTCAGTCGCAATAGTTCTCATTTGCCTGTCGTAATCGACAACTCCCAGGTGCAGATCGTAGAGGAGCAAGTTTCTGGGTTTAACTCTGTCTAACCTGAAATGGGTTAAAAACACTGACCGAGTCGTTAAGAAAGCTCGTCAGCGTCTCTACTTCCTGCGGAAACTTCGAGAATTTACCACTAACTCTAAGATTGTGCTTAACTTTTATGGCTGCACCATTGAGAGTTTACTTGTTGGTTCTGTGTCTGTGTGGTTTGGAAACATCACAGATAAAGAAAAGAGAGCTTTAAACAAGGTGCTCCGCTCTGCAAAGAGGACCGTGGGCTGTGAGCTTCCTGTCCTGGAGGTTCTTTATAAATCCACACTTTTAAACAAAGCTCTTAGGATTGTTAATGACTCTTCTGGCCACCCTGGGAAAGCCATGTTCCAGCTTCTTCCCTCTGGCAGAAGTATCGCTCTCTGAGATGCAGGACATCTCGTTACGCTAACAGTTTTTATCCACAAGCTGTTATCAGTGTGAACAGAGCACTTTAATGATTTGCACTTGTTTTGATACTGTTTTAGTCGATCCATTTCACAGTGACATTTGTTTACTGTTTTATTTCTGTCTTTTAATGTTGTGTTTTTTTTTACTGTAAATGGCAAATAAACTGAATCTGATCTGAAATAGCAGAAAATGCAATTGACGTATTAATGTGTCAATGGCACACGGGTGAATACGTTTAATAAATAAGTTTATCTTGTTTTGTGTGCAGCCTCTGAAGCGGTCGTCAGTGAAGAAGGAGCTAAAAGAGAACCTGAAGGAGAACCTGAAGGAGAACCTGAAGGAGAACCTGAAAGAGAACCTGAAGGAGAACCGCGAGATCGAGGAGAGCAAAGAGAACCTGAAATCTAAATCTGACGACTCCGGAGAAGAAAAGAACCAGGACGAGGACGGGCAGCGGAACGGCCCCAAGAAGAAAGGTGTGTGAGCACAGGGACGGGTGTGTGAGCACAGGGACGGGTGTGTGAGCACAGGGACGGGTGTGTGAGCAGAGGCATGGGTGTGTGAGCACAGGGATGGGTGTGTGAGCACAGGGACAGGTCTGAGCACAGGGACGGGGGTGTGAGCACAGGGACAGGTGTGTGAGCAGAGGGACGGGGCAGAGCAGAGGCATGGGTGTGTGAGCACAGGGATGGGTGTGTGAGCACAGGGACAGGTCTGAGCACAGGGACGGGGGTGTGAGCACAGGGACTGCTTCTCTTTCTGAAGTGTCTTTGTTGTTGCAGGAAACAAACAAAAGTGGGTTCCTTTGATGATCGAGGTGAAGTCTGAAGGACCCAGAGAAAGATCTGCATCACGGAACAACAGAGACAGCCCCAGGGTCCCCCCCACGGCCCGCAACGACCTGAGAGGTGAGCACAGGGACTGATCTGATCCAAGCTTCATACATGTGCTGTACCTGTGATGTGCTGTACCTGTGATGTCGCAGACTGGCATTCTCAGAAGTACGAGCGCGAGTGGAGAGACGACCACGACGAGGTGTCGAGCGTCAAGAGCGAAGGAGCTCCTTTCAGAGGAAGCTTCAGAGCACGAGGAAGAGGAAGAGGACGAGGAAGAGGCCGAGGAAGAGGCCGAGGTGAGAGGGGCTGAGGGAAGGGCCGAGGGAGGGGCCGAGGGAGGGGCCGAGGAAGAGGCCGAGGTGAGAGGGGCTGAGGGAGGGGGCGAGGGAGGGGCCGAGGGAGGGGCCGAGGAAGAGGCCGAGGTGAGAGGGGCTGAGGGAGGGGGCGAGGGAGGGGCCGAGGAAGAGGCCGAGGTGAGAGGGGCTGAGGGAGGGGGCGAGGGAGGGGCCGAGGGAGGGGCCGAGGAAGAGGCCGAGGTGAGAGGGGCTGAGGGAGGGGGCGAGGGAGGGGCTGAGGGAAGGGCCGAGGGAGGGGCCGAGGAAGAGGCCGAGGTGAGAGGGGCTGAGGTTTGATTTGATGGTGTCTGTTACAGGTCACTATGAGTACTAAAGTATAGGTTTGATGGTGTCTGTTACAGGTCACTATGAGTACTAAAGTATAGGTTTGATGGTGTCTGTTACAGGTCACTATGAGTACTAAAGTATAGGTTTGATGGTGTCTGTTACAGGTCACTATGAGTACTAAAGTATAGGTTTGATGGTGTCTGTTACAGGTCACTATGAGTACTAAAGTATAGGTTTGATGGTGTCTGTTACAGGTCACTATGAGTACTAAAGTATAGGTTTGATGGTGTCTGTTACAGGTCACTATGAGTACTAAAGTATAGGTTTGATGGTGTCTGTTACTGGTCACTGAGTACTAAAGTATAGGTTTGATGGTGTCTGTTACAGGTCACTATGAGTACTAAAGTATAGGTTTGATGGTGTCTGTTACTGGTCACTGAGTACTAAAGTATAGGTTTGATGGTGTCTGTTACAGGTCACTATGAGTACTAAAGTATAGGTTTGATGGTGTCTGTTACAGGTCACTATGAGTACTAAAGTATAGGTTTGATGGTGTCTGTTACAGGTCACTATGAGTACTAAAGTATAGGTTTGATGGTGTCTGTTACAGGTCACTATGAGTACTAAAGTATAGGTTTGATGGTGTCTGTTACAGGTCACTATGAGTACTAAAGTATAGGTTTGATGGTGTCTGTTACTGGTCACTATGAGTACTAAAGTATAGGTTTGATGGTGTCTGTTACAGGTCACTATGAGTACTAAAGTATAGGTTTGATGGTGTCTGTTACAGGTCACTATGAGTACTAAAGTATAGGTTTGATGGTGTCTGTTACAGGTCACTATGAGTACTAAAGTATAGGTTTGATGGTGTCTGTTACAGGTCACTATGAGTACTAAAGTATAGGTTTGATGGTGTCTGTTACTGGTCACTGAGTACTAAAGTATAGGTTTGATGGTGTCTGTTACAGGTCACTATGAGTACTAAAGTATAGGTTTGATGGTGTCTGTTACTGGTCACTGAGTACTAAAGTATAGGTTTGATGGTGTCTGTTACAGGTCACTATGAGTACTAAAGTATAGGTTTGATGGTGTCTGTTACTGGTCACTGAGTACTAAAGTATAGGTTTGATGGTGTCTGTTACAGGTCACTATGAGTACTAAAGTATAGGTTTGATGGTGTCTGTTACAGGTCACTATGAGTACTAAAGTATAGGTTTGATGGTGTCTGTTACTGGTCACTATGAGTACTAAAGTATAGGTTTGATGGTGTCTGTTACAGGTCACTATGAGTACTAAAGTATAGGTTTGATGGTGTCTGTTACAGGTCACTATGAGTACTAAAGTATAGGTTTGATGGTGTCTGTTACAGGTCACTATGAGTACTAAAGTATAGGTTTGATGGTGTCTGTTACAGGTCACTATGAGTACTAAAGTATAGGTTTGATGGTGTCTGTTACTGGTCACTGAGTACTAAAGTATAGGTTTGATGGTGTCTGTTACAGGTCACTATGAGTACTAAAGTATAGGTTTGATGGTGTCTGTTACTGGTCACTGAGTACTAAAGTATAGGTTTGATGGTGTCTGTTACAGGTCACTATGAGTACTAAAGTATAGGTTTGATGGTGTCTGTTACTGGTCACTGAGTACTAAAGTATAGGTTTGATGGTGTCTGTTACTGGTCACTATGAGTACTAAAGTATAGGTTTGATGGTGTCTGTTACAGGTCACTATGAGTACTAAAGTATAGGTTTGATGGTGTCTGTTACTGGTCACTATGAGTACTAAAGTATAGGTTTGATGGTGTCTGTTACTGGTCACTGAGTACTAAAGTATAGGTTTGATGGTGTCTGTTACTGGTCACTGAGTACTAAAGTATAGGTTTGATGGTGTCTGTTACAGGTCACTATGAGTTCCATTACGGATATAAATCGTATGATGTGAAAGAAGGAACGTTTGCACAGAACTCTGTCACTTATTACTACGACAACATGAGCAGCAGCGACTTGTACTCAGCCGACCAGGACCTGCTGAAGGACTACATCAAGAGGCAGATGTAAGTATTTTATATATATATAAATAAAAATAAAAAATCTAAAACAGCAACCTTTGGCCCTCCGCGGGCATTTATCCCTCTCTATCTGTGGGCGGTTATCCCTCTCTATCTGTGGGCAGTTATCCCTCTCTATCTGTGGGCAGTTATCCCTCTCTATCTGTGGGCAGTTATCCCTCTCTATCCGTGGGCAGTTATCCCTCTCTATCTGTGGGCAGTTATCCCTCTCTATCTGTGGGCAGTTATCCCTCTCTATCCGTGGGCAGTTATCCCTCTCTATCTGTGGGCAGTTATCCCTCTCTATCTGTGGGTGGTTATCCCTCTCTATCTGTGGGCAGTTATCCCTCTCTATCTGTGGGCAGTTATCCCTCTCTATCCGTGGGCAGTTATCCCTCTCTATCTGTGGGCAGTTATCCCTCTCTATCTGTGGGCAGTTATCCCTCTCTATCCGTGGGCAGTTATCCCTCTCTATCTGTGGGCGGTTATCCCTCTCTATCTGTGGGCAGTTATCCCTCTCTATCTGTGGGCAGTTATCCCTCTCTATCCGTGGGCAGTTATCCCTCTCTATCTGTGGGCAGTTATCCCTCTCTATCTGTGGGCAGTTATCCCTCTCTATCTGTGGGTGGTTATCCCTCTCTATCCGTGGGCGGTTATCCCTCTCTATCCGTGGGCAGTTATCCCTCTCTATCTGTGGGCAGTTATCCCTCTCTATCTGTGGGCAGTTATCCCTCTCTATCTGTGGGCAGTTATCCCTCTCTATCCGTGGGCAGTTATCCCTCTCTATCCGAGGGCAGTTATCCCTCTCTATCTGTGGGCGGTTATCCCTCTCTATCCGTGGGCAGTTATCCCTCTCTATCTGTGGGCAGTTATCCCTCTCTATCTGTGGGCAGTTATCCCTCTCTATCTGTGGGCAGTTATCCCTCTCTATCTGTGGGCAGTTATCCCTCTCTATCCGTGGGCGGTTATCCCTCTCTATCCGTGGGCAGTTATCCCTCTCTATCCGTGGGCGGTTATCCCTCTCTATCTGTGGGCAGTTATCCCTCTCTATCTGTGGGCAGTTATCCCTCTCTATCCGTGGGCAGTTATCCCTCTCTATCCGTGGGTGGTTATCCCTCTCTATCCGTGGGCAGTTATCCCTCTCTATCCGTGGGTGGTTATCCCTCTCTATCCGTGGGCAGTTATCCCTCTCTATCTGTGGGCAGTTATCCCTCTCTATCCGAGGGCAGTTATCCCTCTCTATCCGTGGGCAGTTATCCCTCTCTAAGCTCGGGTCCTCTACCAGAGGCCTGGGAGCCTGAGGGTTCAGTATCTTTGCTGTTCCTAGCACTGCACATTTCTGGACCCAGATGTCCGAGGTTGTTCCAGGGATCCGCTGTAACCTCTTCTAGCTTCGGGGTCACTGCCCCGAGTGCACCGATCACCACGGGCACTACTGTGACCTTTACCCTCCAGGCCCTCTCACTACTGTGACCTTTACCCTCCAGGCCCTCTCCAGCTCCTCTCTGAGACCTTGGTATTTCTCAAGCTTTTCATGTTCTTTTTTCCGGATGTTACCATCGCTTGGAATTGCCACGTCCACCACCACGGCTGTCCTCTGCCCTTTGTCCACCACCACGGCTGTCCTCTGCCCTTTGTCCACCACCACGGCTGTCCTCTGCCCTTTGTCTTTATATATATATATATATATATCAGAATCAGAATCATTTTTATTGCCACGTAAGTAACAGGAGGTCACAGACTTGGAAATTGCTTTGGCTCAGTGCAACAGTCAGAAAGAGATAATAAAAATAAGAATAAAAAACACTTCTAAAGAATAAATGTAAATTTAAAATAGAGTTACAGTTACTATTTACAATATCCAAGTGCACATGGTGCACACAATATAAGGTGACAGCAGTACAGTGAAGTAAAGTGACGTATGATGGGCAGTAAAGTGACTTTATAAAGGGCGGGGGGACAGGTTAAGAAGTGTTCAAGAGTCCAACAGCAGAGGGGAAGAAACTGTTCTCGTGGCGGGAGGTTCTAGTCCTGATGGACCGCAGCCTCCTGCCTGAGGGGAGTGGTTGGAATAGTCCATGTGCAGGTGAGAGGGGAGTGGTTGGAATAGTCCATGTGCAGGTGAGAGGGGTCGGCTGTGATACGACCAGCCCGGCCTCGAGCTCAGGCGACGTACAGGTCCTGCAGCGATGGAAGGCTGCGGCCGATCACTTCCTCTGCAGAGCGCACAATGCACTGTAGTCTCTGTTTGTCCCTGACTGTGGCTCCAGCGAACCACACGGTGATGGAGGAGGTGATGGAGGAGGTGATGGAGGAGGTGATGGAGGAGGTGATGGAGGAGGTGATGGAGGAGGTGATGGTGGAGGTGCTGGAGGAGGTGATGCAGGAGGTGATGGAGGAGGTGATGGAGGAGGTGCTGGAGGAGGTGGTGGAGGAGGTGGTGGAGGAGGTGATGGAGGAGGTGATGGAGGAGGTGATGGAGGAGGTGATGGAGGAGGTGATGGAGGAGGTGATGGAGGAGGTGATGGAGGAGGTGATGATGGCCGTGTAGAACTGCAGCTTGGCTTTCCTGAGCTGCCGCAGGAAGTACATCCTCTGCTGGGCCTTCTTGATGAGGGAGCTGATGGTCGGCTCCCACTTGAGGTCCTGGGTGATGGTGGTGCCCAGGAAACGGAAGGACTCCACAGAGGTGATGGGGGAGTCCATCACGGAGGGTGGGGGCGGGGGGACAGTGCTCTTCCTGAAGTCCACAATCATCTCCACTGTCTTCTGGGCGTTCAGCTCCAGGTTGTTACCACTGCACCAGGACACCAGCCGGTCCACCTCCCTCCTGTAGGAGACACCAGGACACCAGCCGGTCCACCTCCCTCCTGTAGGAGACACCAGGACACCAGCCGGTCCACCTCCCTCCTGTAGGAGACACCAGGACACCAGCCGGTCCACCTCCCTCCTGTAGGCGGACTCATCGTTGTTGGAGATGAGTCCAATGAGGGTGGTGTCGTCCGCGAACTTGATCAGCTTCACGGAGTCGTGGCTGGAGGTGCAGTGGTTGGTGTACAGGGAGAAGTGCAGGGGAGAAAGAACACAGCCCTGTGGGGCTCCTGTATTTATAATCCCAGAGTCCGAGACATTCTTCCCCAGACGCACTCGCTGCTTCCTGTCCGTCAGGAAGTCAGTGATCCACCTGCAGGTGGAATCGGGCACGTTGAGCTGGGAGAGCTTGTCCTGGAGCAGGGATGGCAGGATTGTGTTGAAGGCAGAGCTGAAGTCCACGAACAGGACCCTGGCGTAGGTCCCCGGGGAGTCCAGGTGCTGTAGGATGTGGTGGAGGGCCAGGTTAATGGCGTCGTCTACAGATCTGTTGGCTCTGTAGGCGAACTGCAGGGGGTCCAGGAGGGGGGAGGTGAGGGACTTGAGATGGGAGAGAACCAGGCGTTCAAATGACTTCATGACGACAGACGTAAGTGCTACAGGTCTGTAGTCATTGAGTCCTGTGATCCTGGGCTTCTTCGGGACGGGGACAATGATGGAGGATTTGAAGCAGGCCGGGACATGGCAGGACTGCAGAGAGGTGTTGAAAATGTCCGTGAACACAGGAGTAAGCTCACTGGCGCAGTGTCTCAGAGTGGCCGGAGACACGTGGTCCGGGCCAGGAGCTTTGCGGGGGTGCAGCCTCAAGAAGAGTTGTTTAATCTCTTTAGAGGCTATTGTTAGGCTGGGGGCAGGGCTGATGGGTGGGTCGTTAGAGTAGTGGGGGGTGGGGGAGGGAGAGGTGTCAGGGGCAGCATCAAAGCGACTGAAAAATAAGTTCAGTTCGTCAGCTAGCTTGTGGTCGTCAGTACAGGGGGGGGCTTTGGGTTTGTAGTTGGTGATCTCCCGTAGGCCCCTCCAGACAGAAGCAGTATCGTTGTTACCAAACTGCTCCTGTAGTCGTTCTCTGTGCCGGGACTTGGCTGCTTTCAGTTCTTTCCTGAACTGATATTTAGCTGCTTTGTAGCCGCTGCGGTCCCCCTCCCTGAAAGCAGACTCCTTTGCTTTCCTGAGCTGCCGGAGTTTAGCAGTGAACCAGGGTTTGTCGTTGTTATAGATGACCCTGGTCCTTGTTGGAATGATGCTATCCTCACAGAAGTGGATGTATGA